AACCAGCAAAGGACCAGCAAAGGACCAGCATAAACCAGCAAAGGACCAGCAAAGGACCAGCATAAACCAGCAAAGGACCATCTTAAACCAGCAAAGGACCAGCTTAAACCAGCAAAGGACCAGCATAAACCAGCAAAGGACCAGCTTAAACCAGCAAAGGACCAGCTCAAAGCAGCATCCCAGCTTCAAAACTTACCTAACCAGCATATGCTGTTTTTTTCAACGGGGTATGTTTATGCATTATGCTATCAGTCAGTCACAAGGGCAGACTGTGTGTGATGCTGTTAATGAATAAATAAATATATACACACACATTATATAGATTGTTACTACAGGAAAACTGGTATCAACCACTGCTTTATAAAGGAAAAATGTCTCTTTTAAGATCCTATGTTAAATAATGTTTTCATAGTGAGAACAATAACTATTTAAAGTAACATTTGGGTGAAACTATGGTTACTATGGTAAAACGCTTTGTGGTTTATCAATACATAATTTTCTTTCTGGTAAAGTACATATTTTCTTTAATTAGCGTAGGCCTATAATATCGTGCAATATAACTTTGTTTTGCCTAAGCAAATATCACATTACAAGCACAATTTACGTGGAAATATGACCAATCCCTCTAGTGGTCAAATGATAATAGTTTAATTTTTGAGGTTGTTTACATCTGTAGCGCATGAATGAAGGCAGTGAGGTAACTTAGTAGATAAAAATAACACTTGCATGCTGCAGTATAGAACTGTCTGTAAGTTATCTAAGCTATGAACTAATAGAACATTTGAGATGGAAATTCAAGAGGCTATATTACAATAGAGGCGCTTTATGTGAAAACATGCATTTATGAAACAAAGTGGCAAGTTTGGATACATTTCACTGGTTGTCTAGTGTTCGATTATCAACAGATAGGGACGTGTCAGACGTTTGCTAAAAGTTTTTATTTGCATGTAAAGTTTGTAAAAGTCCACTAGTTTGTAAAAAAAAAAAAAAGGAATGTTTTTATGGAACAACTCGCAGGGTGACGCCTTGTTCGCGTGACGTCATACGCACAGCATCAACGTTATGGACTTCCGGGTCAGTTTTAAATCTGGGTCCTGAGCCATCTATCTGGACACCACAATATCACACATTTGAGGGTGAGCTATTTTGACAAATTTAAAAAAAAAAAAACACTCTGGCGCACAGACTCAAGACTCGATTCCACATTCAGCTGTTTTTTTTTTCCTGAGAATGGATCGTTTTCTTCATAAAAAGCAGGTGCAGACCATCATCGCTCACAATGTTGTATCAAGTTCCCTTAAGGTAAGATTATTTGTCTACATGGCTCATCTTCAACATTTTGGGCTTGGATTTTGAAATCGTCTTGCTAAAACCGGTATAAAGTTGGTTCGACATTTGTCAGAGATTCAGCCTCGGAAATTTTCAGTAGTTCTTATTTAGCATAATGGCAAGAAACATACTGTGTTTCAATTGTTTTCAAATGTAGAAGAGAACACACAATGTGTTTTATTTGTTTACCTTAAAGGCAGTAGCGGCTCCTGAACGTAAATTTAGGTGATGCAGGTTCTGGGTCGTAGCACTAATATATGAAAAACGTTTAGTAAACTTTATATTCTAATCTCTGAACACATGAGGACAAAATTTTGGCAGAGATATCATTGCGTTATCCAGTGGGTGGCGCGCTGATGTTGATTGACAGGCTCGAAGTAATGTTACACGCATTAAATGCTGTATAATTATTGCCTTAGTGGAGCAATTCGGGTGAGGAAAGACGATCATATGTCAATTCTCAGAATAATAATAAAACAAACACAATAGATATAAAGGCTATTCATGTAAGCACATTTAAACTAAAATGATTTATACTTTGTTAATTTGATCCACTACTCATCCACTACCAAAAACACACCTGAACCAGCTCTTGAGGGTCTTCATGAACACTTGGTAATGATGCAAACAGGTGTGTTGAAACTGAAATTTGTAGAAAGGTGGATCTTCAGGAACGGGGCACCCTGGTTAAAAACGTTAAGTGATGAAAGGTCAGTGGTGTGTCAACGATTTACAAATGTATATTTTTAGGCATTTGGCTGCTCTGCTGTGAGATTTGTTTATACTGCACTCTATTAGAGCTTTTCCAAAGATGAAGTCTTTTTTTTTTAACACTAGATGGCGCTCTATGCAGCAGTATGCACACTTTCCTCTAAATCAGGAGTGTCAAACTAGATTTAGCTAGCTTGTTGCTAGATTTAGCAAATGTATACCGTAGCAAAAAAATTTTTTTCCAAAAAGCACAAATTTAGCCATTTTTGAAATTTATTTGGCTACTTTTAGCAAGTAAATCAAATCCAAAGATCAGTAGTGACTGCAAACCTAACTCAATAGATGAGCTGTTCATTCATAAATCCTTAAGATCGCTGTAGAAACACAAACTGCAAGACTAAAGACAACGAGTGCAGGGGCGGGGCTACACAAGGTCTAAATAGCCAGGCACAGAAGCTGCAGTAGCAGCAAAAATGGTTGGCTGGGTGCAGCAGCAAGTAGCACGCATTTCACAATTTTCTTAAAGTAATTAAAACAACAACCACAGTTAAAGGAGATTTGTTTATACTGCACTCTATTAGAGCTTTTCCAAAGATGAAGTCTTTTTTTTTAACACTAGATGGCGCTCTATGCAGCAGTATGCACACTTTCCTCTAAATCAGGAGTGTCAAACTAGATTTAGCTAGCTTGTTGCTAGATTTAGCAAATGTATACCGTAGCAAAAAAAATTTTTTCCAAAAAGCACAAATTTAGCCATTTTTGAAATTTATTTGGCTACTTTTAGCAAGTAAATCAAATCCAAAGATCAGTAGTGACTGCAAACCTAACTCAATAGATGAGCTGTTCATTCATAAATCCTTAAGATCGCTGTAGAAACACAAACTGCAAGACTAAAGACAACGAGTGCAGGGGCGGGGCTACACAAGGTCTAAATAGCCAGGCACAGAAGCTGCAGTAGCAGCAAAAATGGTTGGCTGGGTGCAGCAGCAGTAGCACGCATTTCACAATTTTCTTAAAGTAATTAAAACAACAACCACAGTTAAAACTGAATTTGAAATGAATTTTTGATCTGGAAGAGACTTAACTATAACTAGTAACATGTCTCAATCAAAACTGTACAGCCAGAAATACAGAAAAGAGTGGGAGTCTTACCTGAACTTAAAGGGTGGCTGAAGCCAGTAGTTGGGGATGACTGCCGAGCATACTGTGCAATGTGCATGCTGCAAATCCGATATGCTTGCAAAAAT